AGGATGGACGGAGAGTGTGAGGAGGGGCGAGGAAACGATGAAGAGATGGAGGGAAGAAGCCATAGGGAGGGGAAGGAAGAGGAGGAAAAGGAGGAGGCGGAGAAGGAGGAATAGGAGTGGATGATGGAGGAAGGGGAGGAGGGATGCAATGGATGAGGAGGAAGGGGGAAGCCAGACGATAACGGGAGGCTGATCCCTGCGAAACGTGCTGGCTGTGCAGTGGGCAAAGTCTGGCAAGTTGAAAGGCGCAAGCAGTCTAACGAGAGCACAGAGTGATGCAAACCCTTGCAGCAAGCGCACACCGCATTAAGCAGCAGAGTTGACGGGGCAACGGCTGAAAGCTGGGCGACCAGGTCGCCCGACTGAGCTACAGCAGTCCAGAGGCCATGTGCCAGTGTACCATGTCCGTGAATACGATCGCTACAGCTGCACGTTTCCCCGGCTGCTCTGCCAAGAAACCTCTCCTGCGACAGAAACAATTTCGACCGTACGCATCCTCTGCCTCACACATATCCTCCTTCTCATCCTTCACCTCCCCTCCTTCTCATACACCTCATGTCCACCCCATTCCTACCACCTCCTCAGCCGCCTCCGCCTACTCCACCACCTCCGCCACTCGTTCCTCTTCTGGCGCCTCCGCCGCCAACTCCACCACCAGCTCAGCCGCCTCCCATCTCCATCCTCCTTCCTGGACCCTCCCTCCTCCTCCTCCTCCTCCTCCTCCTCCTCCTCCTCCTCCTCCTCCTCCTCCTCTGTCTCGCTCTCTCTCCTCTCTCTCGCTCTATCTCTCTCTCTCTCTCTCTCTCTCTTCCTCCCTCTTCCCTTCCCCTCGTAGCCATTCTGGCTCAAAGGGCCGCCCGCAACCGCGCACAGCCCTGGCTCGGCAGGCCTAGGAATAGGCCCCTCGAATCGTTCCCGTTCGTCTCCAGCGATGGCAGAGTATCGTATCGCCGCCCTGCGCAACGATGTCCTTCGTCTCGTCGGCGAGCGCTCCGGACATCCCCACCGGCGCATCAGCTCTGCGGCGAGGGCGCCGTTCGAGAACAAGTCGAAGAATAAGCTCAAGACGCATCTCCTTCAACTGGACATCACAGTCGCTTGGAATCGCCACATCCACACCGTGCGCTCGTCACAATTGGAGGGGCCCTGGGACACACAAATAAATACACACAAATAACAGGATTCCCCATATTTTGCTATATTTGCTGGGTTTTTGTCTTCCCCCCCACTTCCCATATTTTCCCATATTTTCCTAGGGATCGATGATTAATTGTGTCTGTATTTTTTCCCTTCCTGAACAATTCAAGGGCCAGGTATCGGCAGCAGTGGACAAGATCTCGAGGCAGCCGCCGCACCAGGAGCTCACGAAGCTCGGTGATACCGAGGAGAGCGGTATGCACGCGGATGTCGCGCTCCATGAGAGCTCCTCGGGCCAGCATCTGCACCAGTTGGAGGCCCGTATCGACGACGTCAAGACCATCCTCATGGACATTCGGGCCGACGTCGTAGGCATCTCGCCGAGGCCCGCTATCGTTGGGGACGTCCAGGGCTGCCCGCGAGAGGAGGCCACCGTCGCGTGTGCCGACGAGTCCATCCAGGTCGACGGCCACGCGCACGAGGAAAGCCGCAGTCCCGGCGTCAAGTTTGACAGCAGCACGGCGCCCGACGATCTGCTTGTGACCCGGACGAGGCCTTCGTCCATACCGTCTCCGAGGCGGTCGACCGCGGCATCGCCAGCAACACGGGGACGTCCGAGGCCCACACCGGAGAGCTCCTCGGCGTGCACGCGGGGACGGTGGAGCTCGACGCCGACGCCGCCAGACGCGGCAGGGCATGGAGTCAGACGCGGCAGGGCATGGAGTCGCCTCGCAGTGGGGAGGTCATCCAGCAGCACATCAATGGTGGGCTTGTCTTCCACCACCACCACCATGAGTAGGGAGGGGGAGGGGGTCCTCCTCCTCCTGCTCCTCCTTCTCCTCTTCGCCCTCCTCCTCATCCTCCACCTCCTTCCCCCCTCCAACTTATGGTGATGGTGGTGGTGGTGGAAAACAAGCCCATCAATCAAGGTGCGATCCATCCATGGCGACGCCGTCCTATCTCAACTCCTCCGCAGGAAGCCCAACCCTGGCCGACTGGTACGGGCGGCAGAATGGAGTCCGCATTCCCGAATACAGTCAACCCGTATAGCATGGGTGCGCGATAAGGATGCAAGGACATTGGACGCCCATTTCGAGGTTCCTCGAGCGGGGCGCGGCCAACAACAGTGGCGAAGGATGGACCGAGGAGGCAAAGATGCAATGGTACCCTTGGGAAGGCTGCTCATCCTTGCTGTGCGGGTCGACCGTGGCCTGCAGCAGAGTCTTGTCAGCAGGGCCTTGCTGGCCAGCATGTTCGGCCTTCTCCCACCATGGTCTAGAGCGGTTTCCCTTCCAACCCCTCCCTCTTCCCCTTCGGGGAGAGGTTCTCACGTTCACTGTTAAGATACATCCCCTCCCCCAACCGACTGGCAGCCAACAAGGAAGCATGAGGACACCATGCGGACCCCCCCCCACCATCCCTGTGACAAAAAAATCACTCTGCCTCCATATTCGGAGCATGCGTGGCCAACCCGATGCGCCCCCCCCACACCATTCCTATCAAAAGCAATACCAGTCACACATTGGGGCACAGTCTTGAATCATGTTCGTGAGGCTCGCGAGCACTTTGTGTTGTGTTGGTCAGTGACGGCGGGGGTGTCAGCATATTGCCTGGCTGCGCGCAGGGCTACCATCCCTGATTGCATATTGCCTGCTGCGCGCAGGGCTACCACCCCTGACAACACACACACACACAAAACAAAAAAAGCAAACAAAATGCGCCTCACAGCTATATCTGGCTCATGCGCGGCCATCCCGCGATCACAAATGGTTTGTGACAGGGACGGCGGGGGTGGTGGCGTACGGCCCGCTTTGCACAAGCCCACCGGACACAATGATGGGCATTTGTTTTCGACAAGGATGGTGGGGGCCGACATGTTTCCCGACAGGCGCACCTGGCACCCTCCGCACGGGCCCCGGACGGTGCGCGCCTGGCGCGGCTGGAATGTGCGGCACACTCGGCGCACGCGGAACACGTGGCGCATCTGGCGCACCAGGCGTGCCAGTCGCGCTCGGGCCCCAGGGGTGCCTGGCGCGCGTGGCGCGCCTGGCACGCGTGGCGCACCTCGTCCCAGCGTCGCGCACTCCATCCAGAGACGATCGCTGAACATGCTCCGGCGCGCGTGCTACTTCACGTGTTGGGAGGGCGGGTGGCTATCTCGGAGGGTGTCTTGACCCCTCCCTTTAACCCCCCCCCCTGGACCAGAAGAGGGGGGGGGTGGTCGCGAGGCGTCGAAGCGTCCATGATGGCCCAAGGTGGCTCCATCGGGGGCGCGCAAACATTTTCCGTCAGCGGCGAGGCGGCGAACTCCGCTCCAGCGAGAAGCTATTGTAGGGGCACCGACTGGCGAATTGGCCGGCGAGGCGGGCGCAAAAACATACATTAGCGGAAAAATCTTCGACTTCCTGTGGAAGCGGGGCCCGTCGCTGATCCACGCCCCCTTGATCCAGGAGGGCCCGGGAGTGCCTCGCGGAATGCCTCGGCGCTCCTCCTCCCCCCCCCAAGGCTGAAGTCGGGCCTGTCCCCCCCCCCAAAGTGCCAAGGAATTGTCAAAACAAAACAAAAAGCCCCAGACTATTTTTTGCTTATTTGTGAATATTCCCCCTTGTAGACGGACAGGCCCGACTGAACCTCAAGTCGGGCCTGCCCCCCATACAGGGGGATTTTCGACGAACGAATAAAAAATACCCCAAAAATTATAAAAATACTCCAAACATAATATGGAGACTATTTTTGGAGTATTTGTTCACCTTTTTGGGGTATTTCTGGGTATGCATGATTTTTCGTCGAAAATCCCCCCGTAGAGGGACAGGCCCGACGTAACCCAGGGCGTCTAGGTGGCCCGCCGTCGGCCGCCCGCCCTCGGCCCGCGCCGAGGCAGGCCGCCCCGAGCCCAGGTCCAGTCCAATCCTCCCCCTCCCCCTCCTCTGAAGGGGCCCCAGGACACACAAAGAAATACACACAAATAAACAGATTCCCCACATTCTCCCGTAGTGTTGTGGGTCTTCGTCTTCCCTCCCACTTCCCATATTTTCCCAGATTTTCCGGGGGTCGGCGGTTCATTGTGTCTGTGTGTTTTTTCCCCTCCTGACCCTTCTCCCGCCGCCAATCCCAGTCCAGTCCAGTCCACTCCAACCCAACCCTCCAGTCCTATGCAGTCCAACCCAGTCCGGCCCCACTCCCCGCGTGTCTCCACCCTCCCCCATCCTCGTCAGCCCTCCTCCATCCTTACCAGCCTCGAACGTATCCCTATCCCTAAGATTGACACGCCAAAAGGCGATGACAATCTTAGGGATCCTCCCTCAAAAAATAAGGGAACCCCTAAGATTGGCATCGTGATGAGGAGGTGCCCAGCATAGGGATAGGGATACAGTCGGGGCGTTGACCTAAGGAACCCTAAAGAAGGAACGAGGCTCCTTTTTCCCATCAGTTAAAGTTCGATTTCCCATCGAAAGCCTAAGGAAAACCTGAGGCAAGCTGTGAAACACTTAGGAACGCGGAGCCCCTCCCCAACGAAAAGGGTTCCTTCTTCAGGGCCCCGACTGTATGTTCCAGGCTGGTAACATCCTCGTCCACCCGCCTCCATCCTCGTCCGCAGGACGGCACTCCCAGTTCGCCCCAACGGGCGGCCGCGCGAGGGGCTGGGAGGTGGCGCCGGGGCGCCGCTCCTTCGTTCCTGATGTTCACGCGGGTGCTCGCTTGAGCTGGCCTGCAGCCCTGTGGAGCTCATCGAACTGAGCCATTGTTTGAAGGGGCCCTGGCACACACACAACTAAATACACACAAATAAAAGGTTTCCCCATCTTTTCCTATCTTTTCTGGGTTTTTGTCTCCCCCCCACCTCCCATATTTTCCCATAGAATCGTCGATTAATTGTGTCTGTGTTTTTTTTTCCCCCTCCTGATTGTTTTGCGTTCGAAATGCCGGAACCATGCGGGTGCCTCCTCTTTCTACTTCTCCCGGTCGTCTTCCGCGACATCGTTCCTCAACTTATCCATCGGCTCCTCATCCAGGTCCATCTCCATATCCTTGTCTTCCTCATCGTTCATCTCGTCCCACCTCTAGTCCTTCATCGTTTCGTCCTCGCTCTCCTTGTCGGACTCGGATGGGGAACCTTGCTCACGGGGTTCCGTCGCATTGGCTCTCTCCACCTCCAGAGGCATCTCGAAACTTCCGGGCTGCTTCCCTGTCAGGGCAGGGAACTCAGGCACCTCCGGCAGCGGCACGAATTTCGCAAGAGTGCGCTCCAGCTCCGTGTCTGTCTTCAGGAAGTCGCTAACAGGAGTGCGGAAAAGCAGCAACTCGATGCGTGCCAGCCGCTTGTCGATGCTGCTGTTGTTGCTCATGCGCTCGCCCACTTCCCGCGCGATGGAGCTACAATCGCCGTTGGTGGTCAAGACATCTGTGTGCATGGTGCCCTCGAGCCTGTCGAGCCTGTTTGTGATCTCGTCCATCCGAGTGTTCATCTTGTCCACGTTGGTGCTCATCTTCTCGATTGCGAGCTTCATGGCAGATAATCGCGAATGAATGCTTGCCATATCTCGAGCCACTGTTTCATGACGACGTTGAGTCCGGACAGGCCACGCGCTGGTGACAGTGGTCACTGCGGCCCGGTGGCTGTGCTCGCTGTGCCGGGGCTGTGCAAGCTGTGCCAAATTCCTTGAGCCAAATTCTTGAGCCAATTCCTCGTCCGCCAGGTCCAATCTAATCCAGTCCTAATCTCCCCCTCCTTCTCCCACTCACCTCCTGCCTCCACCCTCCTCCGTCCTCGTCCGCCTATCCATCCTGCCTGCCGGCCTTCTGCTTACCCCCTTCGCTGATCCAGCTTCAGCCATGCGCCCCAGTTCCGACTGGCTGACATGCCGCGGCCGGCACCGCCGAGACGCGACACGGTGTGTCCCCCGTCCTCTGCATTGACATTCACAGGGGGCCTGCCTCACCCCTTCTCCACCTCACCCCTCATCCTCATCCACTTCCCAAGCGCCCAGCCTAACAGAATAGGTGCTCGCGAGCTAAGCTGGCGTGCGCTTAGTCGACGCATCCGTTGTCCCCTGTCCCTGCGTCTCCGTCGTCCCCTTTCCCTGCACCCTCCTCTTCCAGCCTGCCATCGAGAGAAAACCGTAGCAACGTCGTACTTTTGTGTGGCCCAAAAGGGGGTCCAGCTGAAAGGGGGTGGTGCAATAGATTTGGGGCAATCGTATTGCAAACGTGTTGCGCTGGAGAATTGTATTGCGTTGTATTGCAAGTAATGTGTTGCACGCAAAAGTTCCAGCAATACATTTGCGCCCCGAAATCTATTGCACGCCCCAAATGTATTGCAACCCCAGAAATCTATTGCACCAAATCTATTGCGCCACCCCCTTGTCGCTGGACCCCCGTTTGGGTCAACCCGAGTACTTAAGTCGAAGGGAAGCCCTCTTCCCTTTGATCCCTCCCCCGCCGAAGGGGGGGAGTCCCGCGGGGGTCCCGGGGGCGTCCGGGTGGCGTGCCGGGGTGGGGTCCCAGGGCGGGTCCCGGGGGGGGGGGTGTCAGATACGCGTCCGCCCCTGGGCGTCCTGGAGCCCAACAAAAGCGCCAAGACGCACCGAGAGAGCCCCAAGCAGGCCCAAGAAGAGGACCACGAACCGACATTTCAAGCCTCCCGCCCCAAGAAGCCCCGGGAAAGCCCCGAGAGTCCCTAAAGTGGCCCGAAGAGTCCCCCAAGAGACCCCCAAGAGGCCCAACAGAGGCCCCAACAGGCCCGAAAGTATCCAAGAGGCCTTTCTCAACCACATCCCCAGCACGGTGGCAGGAAGGGCCGCAGATCAGAAGGCTCCCTGTCCGTCTCAGCTACGACTCCCTCGGCCCACATGGGGACCATCTCCTTCGCCTTCTCCTGCTCCCTTCTGCCTTAATCTTCCCCATCCTCCTCCCCCTCGTCTTCAGGGTCGGCGGCACCGGCCGTACGGCCTTAGCACCAGGTGCTCGCGAGCTAAGCTGCCGGTGCCTATCTGGCATCCTCGGAATCCTGTCAAAGCCTTTGCCAATCCCTGGCCCAGCCTAACCACCGCCCAGCCAGCGCCCATGGAGCCTGTGCCGCCAGCCTCTTGTCCACACGGCGCAGCGGGAACGCACGGCACCATCTCCTACCGCAGACATACGGTCTTGGCTGGCACAGCCGAGCTGCCGCAGGAGCGCAAGCCGCAGCAACTGCCGCGGGCACAAACGCCATCTCCCCGTCTGCGTGCCGCGTGACTGCGCCCGTGGATCCGAACTCCGTGTGTGCACGTCGGCCTGACTGGAGCCCAGGCCGCGCGCAAAATTGAAGGGGCCCTGGGACAAACGAATTAATACACACAAATAACAGGATTCCCAATGTGTTCCCATATTTTCTCGGTTTTTGCCTTCCCCCCCACTTCCCATATTTTCCCATGTTTTCCTGGGAGTGGGCGATTAATTGTGTCTGTGTTTTTTCCCCTCCTGAGTGACTGCGCCCGTGGATTCGAAATCCGTGTGTGCACGTCGGCCTGACTGGCGCCCCGCCCGCGCACACAATCAGCGACACCCTGCAGCGGCGTGGCAGCTGAGGCGCCGTCCCCGCCGGAATGACCTCCGTGGCGCGGACCGCGATCACGCCGCCAGCGACCAGCCACGCCGCGTTCGGCGCCTCGCTGTGGTTGATCAGCGACGCGCGCAGGAAGAGCGACAGGCGCGTGCACGGCACCTCCAAGGCGGCCCGGGAGGCACACGCCCCTGCCTCCCGGACCCGCCGCTCGGGGCCCCCCTCCAGTGCGACCCAGCGGAGCCGGGAGGGATGGGGAAGAGAAGGGGGAGGGGGGCACGAGACGGAGAGGGGCAGAGGCTGAGGCAGGAGCGGAGTCAAGAAGCCCTCGAAGGAGACCGGGAAGGCACAGAAATCTGGCCAGCTGCTCATCCCCTCCTCCTCCTCCTCCTCCTCCTCCTGCTCTTCTTCTTCTTCTTCTTCTTATTTTTCTTATTCTTCCTCTTCTTCTTATATTATTATTAGTATTAGTATTATTATTATGTTTGTTCTTCTTCATCGTCTTCTTCTTCTTCTTTCTCCTCCTCCTCCTCCTCCTCCTCCCCCGTGTTCATCTTCCCACCTTCCTCATTCCCTCGTCTGCGACTCCCTCCTCCCCCCCCCTCGTTTTATGATCCTCCTCCCCCTCCCAACCCTCCTCCTCCTTTTCCTCCTCGTCCTCATCCTCCTCTTCCTACTCCTCCTCCTCCTGCTTCTCCTCCTCCTCCTCCTCCTCGAACGAAAGACAACCAGGCATACCCTTCTGCCCCGTGCCAGTCTGGGACTCAGGGGCAAACAGAAATCGGAGGAGGAGAGGGATGGAGCAGGGTGAGGAGGCGGAGCCAGAGGCGAATAGAGGAGGAAGACGACGAGGAGGAGCAGGAGGAGGAGGGGGAGGAGGAAGACCAGGAGCAGGAGCAGGGGGGGAGGAGGAGGCGGAAGAGGGGGAGCAGAAACTGGGCGCGGGGAGGGGACGGCGGAGGGGGCCTCCCCCTTTCATCCACCATCCTCCTATCCCTCACAGTCAGATAATTTCCCTCAACATCCACCTCCTCCTCCACCTCCACCTCCTTCTCCTCCTCCTACTCGACCTCCTTCTTCGCCTTCTCCCTCACTCCTCTTCTTCCTGCCTCCTCCCTCCTCCCAAATTCCTCCCCCCTGAACCTTTTTACCCGCTCCAACTTCCTCCTCCCGTTGCCTCCCTTCCTCCTCTCAATGCCGCTCATCGCTGCTCACCCTCCTCCTCCCCATCCGGTTCCTCCTTCTACTCATCTCAGGCCTTGCCAGGGTCCGCCGTTGCCAGAGCGTCCTGCGGGGGGGGGATACGTAGAGGCCACGCTCACTTGCTTCTTGAAGCGAGCAATGATCTACTGGCGCCCGCATGGCTGCACATCGCCCGACGTCGTCCGCATTCTGCCGCTGGGGGGGGCCTCGTGGCCGCGGCTGGACGCGGCCGATCAACTTGCCAGGATGGTGACCCCGAGAGTCCCCGGGGGAGGACGTCGGACGGCTCCTCCCCATCACCAGCCGTCTCCAAGTTTCTCGTCCCCCACCCTTCTCTTCCTCCTCATCCCCCGACCCGCTCCGCCCCAAGTGTGTACTCCAGATTTCGTAATAAAGGGAGGGGGGTCTCATTTCGGAGGGGGTCTCTTCCAGGCTATCTTAGAGGGCCTGGGGGGGTCTGGGGACGATGTTTTGGAGGGTTCTCCCACGGGGGGAGGTCTGAAATGGCTTGTCTTGGAGGGTCCAGACCCCCTCCCTTTTATTTACGAAATCTGGGGTACCAACTCCTCCTCTCTCTCCGTCTCTCTCTCTCTCTCTCTCTCTCCCTCTCTCGCTGCAACCGCTGAGCGCGGTTCCTTCCAGTCGACACGACGCGGCCAGCCGGCACGCGCGAGCGCGCGCTACTGGGCCCCAGCGCAGGACCGCCCGTTCCGATATGGGAGAGGAGGGGGGGAGAAAGGCCACCCATACACTCGTGATCCTCCTGAGGCCTTCAAGGATAGGGGAGGGGAACAGCGACGGGCCGTTGATGGGATGTCGTAGCAGTTGCCGAAGACGGCGTGCCTTGCGAATAACGCTGTATACGGCGTTTCTTGTCTGACCAGATCCTCCTCCTCCTCCTCCTCCTCCTCCTCCTCCTCCTCGTCCTCCTCCTCCGCGTTCCCCTGCTCATCATACTTCACATCGAAGCCACCGCCACCCCAATCCTCGTCATTCACGGGAACATTAGCGTTAGCATTCTCATCAGCATCTTCACCACCACCATCATCATCCTCAGCATCAGCAGCAGCATCAGTATCAGCATCGTCATCATCCTCATCATCAGCAGCATCAGCATCAACATCAGCAGCATCATCATCAGCACCAACAACAGCAGCATCACCATCAAAATCACGATGGAAATCAACATCATCAACGTCAGCATGATCGTCATCACACGCATCATCATCATCATCATCATGATCATCATCGTCGTCGTCGTCATCGTCGTCATCGTCATAATCATAACCATCAACATCACCATAATCATCACCATCATCATCGTCAACATCGTCATCATCACCATCATCATCACCACCATCACCATCATAATCATCGACAGCACCATTATGACCGTGATAATCAGCATCGCCGTCGTCATCACCATTACCCAGCATCAGCATCCCCATCACCAACAACATCAACATCATCAGCATCGTCATCAGCATCGCCATCCGCATCATCATCAACATCAGCATCAGCATCGTCACCATCATCAGCATCATCAGCATCGCCATCATCATGACCACCACCATCAACATTACCATCGACAGCATACTCATCACGACCAACAACACGATCGTCAACATCGTCATCACCATCATCAACTTACGCAACGATCATACCCATCACCATCAACAGTGTCATCATCACCAGCATCAGCATCGTCGTCAACATCATCATGTTCTTCGTCATCATCAGCAACCTCATCGTCATCATCATCATCATCAACATCACTGCATCCTCCTCATCCACATCCTAATCATCAGCAGCATCATCATGATCATCATCATCATCATCACCATCATCGCCATCAGCATCACCATCATCATCATCAGCATCATCATAATCACCATCATCGTCATGAACATCGTCATCGCCCTTGTCAGTAACTTCCTCTGCTCTTTCACGCCCGCCGCCCCCCCTCCCTAGCACCCCCTCCTCACTTCCTGATGACTCTCCAGTCGTCCTTTCAACGTCCTGATCCCTCAAACCGCCTGGGTATCGTTTCACCGATCCCCATCCCCAGCGGCGTGGCCTGGGTCCCACTGGCCGATTTACCCCCCCTGGATGGGGGATATAGGTCGTTCCCTTCGGGTTTCGAGGGGTTTTGAGTTGCGCGCGGGCGATCGTCTGCCGAACGCTCCTGCCCGTGGCGCCGAAACGACGAGCGAGGGGCCCGAAGAGGGGCCGAAAGAAACGAGGGACGGACCAGGACCCGACAGAGCCGAGCGAAGGACCGAACCGAGCAAACAGGGACAACGAGAAAATCGAGGGCCCGAACAGACAAGCGATGCTGGCAAGACTGGTGATACACTTTGAAGCCCGCGTCCTGGCTCCTGGGCTTCCAGCCTCAAGCTCTGGCCGGCAGCATGCAGAACAACACTCCTGGCGGCTGGTGTCGGGGATCCGAGTAGTCCTGCCAGCATCAGACATACGAGACAGACCAGATATCCCTAGGCGCGCCCGTGCGGCTCGGTGGGCAGCACGCACGCCAGAACCGTTACATCCACCCCACCTCCCAAGTATGCCCGAGAAATCCACGGGGCCTCTAAAAGCCATGCAGGGTCAAACAATGCCTGAAAATTAAAGACATCGTGAGGGGCAGGAAAGGCATATATAACGTTGACATTGTCAACCGCAGTGACCTCACCGACTGGTTGATCAGTGCGGGGGTCACGACCATCACACATGCGTCGAAGCCGTGAGATGGTGCCAGAGGCCCGAGGGGGCCCAGTGCATGATTGAGTTAAACCAACTGCTTTCTTGCACGAGTAGCGGTCGCATCGTCGACAAAATATGATATTATTTAGCCGTCTGAGCACGTGCCCACCGCCAGTGGGAGAAGAGCACTGTGAACGCAATAAATAGCTCTTGGAAACTGAACTACCCCAACAATTCAAGCATCGAAACCGACCCGCCGAGGGGCCCCAGAAGTGCTCATGCAAGGCCCCAGAAGTGGCACCAGAGAGGACTAGGGATGGGGCCGTGGGGGCGGGGGACTCGTCAGAATCCGCCACCCAAACCTTTTTGGGCACGTTCTTGAAAATCCATGCTATACAATGCCCGATATACACACCAAGATTGCGCACAAACAAACCAGAGCGCTTGACACGGTCGTGCAGGACCGTGTCCAGTGTGTGTAGGTCAGCACCTAGGTTAGCAAGTCTGTCCGCTTGCTTATCACCCGCAGAGGTAGAAAGGCCACGAACCTTGGTGACCATAATTAGGTGATACCCGATATCTGAAGCCGCACGGTGGACACGGACCCACAAGGATGCGTGAGTGGCCCATCCGTGCGTGGTAGCTTCATACCCCAATGCCCAACCGTCCACGACGTACTGGGCATCAGTGACAAACTCATAGCAATCAGAGGGGGCAGCATGGGTTAGGTAAAATAAAAACGCATAAAGCTCAGCCCCTGAGACATCCTGGGTGAGAAAGGGATATGCGCCATATGCGCCAGCATTAAGCCGAAGCAGATCATTGGCGATGGCCTCGCCGAAAACATTGCGACTACGCGGGGCAAATGAGCATACACCCCATCCACAACGGAGAGTGAGCGGCGAGGGACCATGCTTCCCCGAGCCGTCTCCATACGCAGGCGACGAGAAGAAGGGGCCGTCTGCGGCTCCTTCCCAGACAGGGTCTGGCAAAGGCGGTGCAAGCAGGGAGCAATAGCGCGGGTCGGGAACCAAGGCAGTGGTCCAGACAGGGTTCTCGCGGTACTGCTCTATGCAACGGGTGAGGGCTGGAGTCGGGCCGAACCAACGACGAGATCCACAAGCCCATCACACTCATACAGGGTGTGAAACACGGGGTCAGAGGGGACGACCTGGCAAATGGGGCACACAGGTTTAAAGTGTATGCCCCCAGATATAAAAGTCCTCAAAGCACGCTGCTGGAGGACACCCCATCCTTCAGTCTTCTGAGACAAAAGGGAAAGAAGAGGGGGAAGAAAAGGGGGTCCAGACAGGTGACCGAAGGATGGGTGACGCTCAGAGGCCTGTTTCCAGGACCAGACAGACGCGTCGCAAATCACTAGTGCCACCACTTCACGAGGGGAAGTAGACGAAATATCAACGTTGGTCCCAAGAGAAGTTCGCCATATTGTGGGCGAAACCGCAGACCACCCAATTCTACGCATAGTGGCAACCAAAATCTGTCCTGGGCCCTGCAATTCAGTCCACGGGGTATCTGGCGTCACCTCGGCGTAGGCAAACTGGAAAACTTGGTCTATCATTCCGACAGGAAGAAGAGAGTCCCATCTAGAGACAGTCCAAAGACGAATAACCTCAGCATGTGCATCGATAGCAGGATCGGTAACACCATGCAACGCCAAATCCATCGTGACAGACCTACGCTTACCTGTGCCGAGACCAGCGTGGTATATAGCACGGACCTGACGAATCTGGTGAGTAGATAGACCGACGACGTCAATGCCGTACATGCCAGTGGGCCGCGAGTTAGTGTCTACAATACCTGCAACCTTTGCACCAGCCTCCTTTATCTTCAATAGGCGTCGGGCCTTAAACCTGGCCTTTTTCAATCGGCCAGTAAGAACAGGACGAGAACGACGCCCCTGACGTAACTGATAGTCAATCCCGAGGTTTCGACACGAGAACTTGACTGCACCAGCGAGACGTGGAGTTTCAGCTGCAATGCTCTGAGCCAACTGGGGGTCAGTAGCCAAGGGCACGATTTTCTTCTCGGAGAGCGGTAAACATGCCGAGAAAGTAAGCTTGCTCATCAAAAGGTGCGACGCATCGGGACCGATTGTGAGCAACTCCCTCTCCGAGCCTATCCCCAGGACCTGGACGTCGTCGGCGACGAGGCCAAGGTGCATATTTGGATACGACTGACGAAACGAATCCAACTCGGGCATCAATAAAATACGCATAAACAGGTCGGCAAAAGAGCAACCTGCTACAATAGTCTTGCTAGCTCTGACCCACTCCCCAACAATTCGCCGCAACGTGACAACACGTGGGGAACGATGCAGAGACAGGAAGACCCTCAAGAGTGCTGGATGAAACCCAAACTCACTAGCACGTCTTATGAGAAGTTGGTGGCGAACCTGTTCAAATGCCTTCTGCATGTCGAGCAAGAGTGCAAACACAGACAAACCTTTGGCAGATGCTAACTCTGTGAGCACGCCCATGCGCCACACACATGCTTGGCAGAAATGACCGCGCACACCATGCACGTACGGACGAGGATGCAATCGCGCCCACATAGCACCATGCGCGTGCCTGAAGAACCGAGAGAACGTGCGCACACACGTCGTGAACAGGGCAACCGCACGCTCGCCACCATCAGCCTTGGGGATCAAGTTCATGATGAAAACAGCGAGAATGGGAGGAAATCTACCCAATCGCAGAACAGCACGCCAGATACCAAACAGGGCAAGGAGAGACGAGTCGGATATCAGCGCATGGTGACGTGGATGCATAGAGTCCAATCCCACCGACGCACGAGCTTTGCACCTGCGACACATCTGTCTGTACTTGTCCAGGGACGGGCGAGGCAAGGATGCAAGGCAGTCGGGCGGCAACGGCGGGAAATCCAGGGCTCGGCAAGGATCGTCAGGGTGCTCCTGCATGGGCTCCCAGATAGCATGCCAAGCTACTTCTCGCGCCTTAAGATGATGCTGAGGCGTGCCGACTGGGGCATCTGGGTTCGGGGTGGTCTTGTCAAAGGAAGCCCAAACCATAGATCCCTTGACGAATCGGTGCGCAGCAGAACCCCCTTCCTGGACAGGTCGAATGGCCCATGATGTCCAGGATTGGTACCTCTGCGCCGATGCTGCACGTTCCAGGGCAGATGCGGACTCAGCCAAGACGCCCCGCAGCCAATCTATGAAACCAAGATCTAGGGTATCAAGCCTGTTGGCATAATACCTCCACCACGACCAATCGGGGGGGGGACCACCATCACGCTGCGAAGGACGATATCGGCGCAGGGCTTGGCAGGCTCTCCGGTATGCGGGCCACAGCTGCTTGTCAGCAAGATACAGAAGAGTACCAAGACGGTTAGAGAGATACCTCCAGAGCCTTCCTTCGTATGACGAAAGCACACCTCCAGGAAACAGTCTGGAAACCGAAATCTGGATGGTCGAGGGAGGCTCACCCCACTTGGTGTAATCCTGCGGATCTGGCAACTGGAAAAGGGCAAGCAACTCCTGGGCAGACGTCTTCAGCCAAGAAGAGGTAAGGCGTTCCAAATCTTCCACAGAGTTGACTGCGTCAGGATCAGGAAAGGCATCCCAGGAAGGCGGGCAGTTTGAGCACCCCACTGGACGGATAACAGGGATATGTGGCGGGCGCCGAAAAACCGATACCAAATCAGAGTGGAGATTTCCACGAAGGGTAAGAGCGACAGGCTGGTGCTTGGGGATCAGGGGGGTCTCCCAGACCTCGCACTTAACTGCTGCCGAGAGCAAGGGGTGAACCACAAAGTAGTCAATCAACGGCTGGGCATCCGCAGACTCATGGGTATGGCGATCTGGCGCAACAATGACCCCACCTATGAGCGTTAAGAAGTCCGTGTTCTGCAAGTCCTTGGGGGACATGTTCCAGCCCCCTGATATGACAAAGGGGGTGGATATGGTCTTCATGTCTGCTGCCACCTGCATCAGTAGCTGGGCATTGCAATCCTCGGCGCCTTCCCCCGTATGCAAATAGACATTGGCCCAGGGGATACCTGAATCCACGACCCCATGCCATAGCTTCAGGATGAATCTCTCTGGAGGGGCATGGCAACAATCGGTTCCAATCCATGTTCAGAGAAAGACCTGGCATGCTGCGAGACAAGGCCCACTCCTGAACTCAATCCGCCTTTCTGAGTACTAACTGAGGGGTGGAGGTGCGCATGGAACCCATGCTTGTGAGCACGGTTGACTGCGAACTCGATAGCCTCTTCTGTACGACAGAGTTCTTGAAAACCAAAAGCATCAAACCGATCAGAATAAGCCTCCAGGAAAATATCGGCATTAGACCAGGAGGTAACGTTCACAGTCACGATGACCCAGTCCCGACGCGGCTTCTGTCCGAAGGCTGACTTGTCGGGCGGGGTCTCCGATGTGTTAGAGGTCAGACGGGCCCTTGGGACTGGAGCCCTCCACCACTGCTGGGGTGTCGGCGGGGCCAGAGGTGGCGGCAGCCGACGGCGAAAACCTTCCTGACTGTCCCGGCTGATCAATTGCAGCATCAGGGGCATGAGCAGGACGTTTCGGCGCAGGCGGCAGTGAAGAAGAGGAACGGGGAGGAGCCCTGGCAACACGTGTTGGGGAACCTTGCTGGTCGACAGACATCCTGGGCTCCTCAGACTGGGACCGAGGTTCGCTGGCAACACCAACAGGAGCATAGCCAGACATAACGATACCCTGGAGGTCCCGCAACGCCTGAGCAAGCTTCTTGTCTCTCTGCACTGCCTGGGAAGCTGCGAAAACGTCCGCCACGGCTGATAGATCTGGAGGCGTGGAGCCCTCAGGGACTGGCTCGCTCGACGGGAGATCCTGCAACTTAGACTGCCACATAGCCAGATCCTGGGCGACCCGCTCCTGACGAGAGCAGAGGGCGTCCCTTTCGCTCTGAAGGTCCAGGATCTTACGATCGAACTCGCGGATCTGGCTAGAGATCTTGTCAAACTTCTTACTGGCCCAGTGATGGCGCTGCATATAGAACGCACGCTTCTGGGGAACGGTAAGCAAGTCGGACTTCTGTGCACGGAGATGCTGCACCTCATCCTGGAGACCCGAGACCTGATCGCGAACATACCTGGTGGGCGGAAGCAGGCGAAGGGAATCCAGCTGGCCCAAAAGGGCCTTGATAATCTGATCAATCTGCGCAACCGAGAGCTCATTGCCATTGGTGCCGACACAGCCGCCATCGACGTCGTCGTCGACGTAATCAGCCCAAAAACCACGATCGCTGCCAAGACCATCGTCGCCAGAGTCATACCCGAATCTATCCTGCACTTCCTCATCCAATGGAGCCTGAAGACGTTCATCCAAAGACCGAACTGGGGGAGTGGCAGTACCGTCATCAACATGACGATCGTGGAAACGAACACGGGGAGGAGACAAGACACGCTCACTGCCACTGCCTTTGCTCCTGCCTTTGCCGTCCTTGTCGCCTTTGCGACCATGTTTTCCTGGGACCTGTCCCTTGGAGCGGCCACGAAAAGGAGTACTGCAGAACTTACACTTCTGGCGGGGGTTGGTGTCGGGGATCCACGAAGTCTTGCCAACATCGCGACAGACGAGACAGACGAGATATCCCATGGCGCGCCCGTGCGGCTCGGTGGGCAGCACACACGCCAGAACCGTCCGAGCCTGCCGCACGGCTGCGGACAAGCTCGAAGCCTCGCGGCAAGGTTTCGAACTTGAGCCAAAATGGCTACGGAGGTTTCGAGGGGTGTATGCCCAACTGGGGGGGGGGTAATTTGGTGGGGGTCTCGAGGGGGATGGGGAGTGGAGGGATAAAAAACGACCCTACCCTGGGTTACAAGTGCGTGGTCTGTAAACCTCCTGGGAACCACCAAAGCCTCGAGCCGCCAGGACGCGGCACATCACGCAGGGTTCACCCTGTCAGCCCACAGGAGTTTCAGCGCACAGCGCCTCGTAAACCAGGGTAGGGGCGTTTTTTTCTGCCCTTGAGGGATGGGGATGGGGATCGGTTAAACGATACTGACCTCCTCCCCCTCTCCTCATCCGCCTCCCGAGAACAGCTGGGTCGCCGTCGAGCCCTTCGCTTGCTGCCCCATTCAAGCGGGGCCTTCCGCCGTGGACGACGACCCACGCCCTCGCCCGCCTCCCTCGCCCCGTGGCGTGACGGGTGGCGCGGTGCACTGTGTTCTTTGGGATCTTGCAGGGCGAGAGCGAACCTCTTCCGCTGAAAGCTGAGCGGGACGCGCACAGCTTTAGAGGAAGGCGGGGCCGCACGCGGCCAGGAGAGGGCGAAACCCGGGGATCAGGCGGTGCGGTGGCGCGGTGCACAGGCAAAGCCAAGCAGCGAGGCGGGTTCAGTGCAGCCGCCGCGCTGCCAGGAGCGAGGCCAGCCAAGGATCGAAGGCTCGCTGCTGGCCGTGGCGAGCCGCGGCCACGACGAGGTGCAGTGACCCGGCTCCGAGGCGGGGCCCGAACGCTCGAGCCCCTCCGGAGCCCACAGCGGAGGAGGAGGAGGAGGAGGAGGAGGAGGAGAAGGAGGAGGAGGAGGAGGAGGAGGAGGCAGAGGAGGCAGAGGAGGCAGAGGAGGAGGAGGAGGAGGAGGAGGAGGAGGAGGCGGGGGAGGACGACGGCACGAGGCGGCGAGGCACAGACAGGACTGCACCATGCTGAGGCCAACTTGACCTTCCATGAGCCGCGCGCCCCCCCCCCACCCCCGCAGACTCCTCGGCACCCAAGAAGACCTTTGAGATCCCCCGCGGTACTCCTCCACCTCCTCCCTCCTCACTCCTCCTTCCTCCTCCTCCTCCTCCTGCTCCTGCTCCCCTCTCTCCTCCCCTCTCCTCCTCCTCCTCCTCCTCCTCTCCTCCTCCTCCTCCTCCTCCTCCTCCTCCTCCTCCGCTCCTCCTCCTCCTCCTCCTCCTCCTCCTCCTCCTCCTCCTCCCTCTCCCCCTCCCCCCCCCCTCCCCCTCCTCCTCCTCCTCCTCCTCCTCTTCCTCCTCGTCCTCGTCCTCGTCCTCGTCTCGTGCTCGTCCTCGTCCTCCTCCTCCTCCTCCTCCTCCTCCTCGTCCTCGTCCTCGTCCTCGTCCTCTTCCTCGTCCTCGTCCTCGTCCTCGTCCTCTCCTCTCCTCCTCCTCCTCCTCCTCCTCCTCCTCCTCCTCCTCCTCCTCCTCCTCCTCCTCCCTCCTCCGCCTCCTCCCCCTCCTCCGCCTCTTCCTCCCCGTCCTCCTCCCCCTCCTGGCCTGGCCTGGCAAGGCCCCCCGCCCGCGTTGGCTCCTGCTCCGCCGGTGCCAGCGCGTGCCACGCCAGGGCGCCCAGGGGGTCCACGGCGCTGCGGAAGGCGTTGGCGCGCACGATGAGGCGGAGGCGAGCCTGGGCAGGGCGGGCAAAAGGGGTACAGTCGGGGCCTTGACCTGAGGAACCCTAAATCAGGAACGAGGCCCCTTTTTTCCATAAGTTGAACTTCGACTTCCCATCGAAAACAGAAGGAAAACCTGAGGCAAACTGTGAAACACTTAAGGAACACCGAGCCCCTCCCATACGAAAAGGGTTCCTTCCTCAGACTGTAGGGGCAACGGTGGGGTTGGAGGGAAAGTCGTTCCGAACGGCCCCTGGAAGAAGGAAACGCGTCAGACGAGAGCATCCAGCTGGGCCCGTTTCCCAGCCCCACCTTGGGACAACCCTCTCTCTACGACCCCCCGGGCCTGGGCAGAGCGCCGTCTTCCGGGGGGGGGGGCGTACAACGGCGGCAAGCGAGGGGGGAAGTGAGAAGGGGCGGGCCTTCTCAGAAGGCTCGGAAGTCCCCAGGACTTCTGAGAAGCTTTCTAAGCCTTCCCCGAAGACCGAAAACATCCCAAAGGCGAGAGGGCTCCTGAGAAGTCCTGCCACCGTCTGAGAAGGCCTGCTCATTCTCACTTCCCCCCCTCGCTTGCCGCCAAGAGCATTGCTACAAACGATTCCAGGAAGAAGGAAGCGGGGGCATTCATCTGGGCTCGCCCCAACCCAGCCAGGCGATCACCCGAGGCTCTCTGGTCGTCGTCATCGCCTCCGGCGCCGGCGCCGTCGTCGTCGTCGCCGCAATCGTCCTCACCCTCGTCGTCTTATGATGTTCCAACCTACTTGAGCCTTTATCACCAGAAAGAGTTTGGAGCACCAGCAAAAAGAACCGAAAATCGAGGGTTCTTACGTGTCGGGCCCTCGGAGACACTCGTCCGACACTGCCTCGACACTCCTTCGGCATTTTTCCGGGTGCTCGAAATTATCTGGGATGTGGTCCTCAAGTCGGCACGGGGAGCAGGAGGGGGAGAGGGAGACGGGGAAGGAGGAAGATATGTTGCAGGCCCAAAAGGCAGAACAAAACCGTGGCGCTCAGCAAAGCGCGGGCCAACGTGCCCTGGCCAACGGCCAAAGTGGCCAACGGCCAACACCAAGGGCACGCGCGCAAAAAGAGGGGATCACGGACACAAGCTGGGACCTGACCTCCGGCCTCCTTTCCTTGACTAACTCCCAATAGCGCCAGAAACGCTGTGCCTTAGGGAGGAAATCAAGGAAAAGAAAGCAAACCAAGGACCGCCCTGCACCCCGCGCCAAAATGGCGCACGGGGGTTCGGGATCGGCGCCCAAGGGACAATACACGGAGCGTTGCCCAGCGCCCGCACCCTCACAAGCACGGCAACAGTGTGCCCGCGGCAAAGAGCACTGCAACCAAGAGGTTACAGGCGGAAAGCCGCGGGCCCCGCCTCCGTGGTCGTCAAACGGCGGTACACCTCAGACCAGGAGGTGCCACTGGGGTCTTCCCGCGCCCAGGCCGCACCTCTTGGCCGAGGTGGCAGGGCACTAAAAGCCCTGGCCTGACAGCTGCAACGGCAACAGCAGCGGCAGCAGGGAGGGGGAGGGGGAGGGGGCCACTCTCCGGCCCAGGAGCGCAAACAACGTCCACCCTGGAACCTAATCCAGGGCCGTGCCGCAACTCCCAAAAAGGAAAAGGGCGACGGACATGACGACGAAACGAGACACGAAGGACGACAACGAACGACCACGAACCTCCCAGCGGGAGGTGCCGCCCTCCGCCCTATCCTTATCGCACCCGGAACGCGGGCGGGATAAGGATCTGACATCATCGGACCCACACCGCATTCAGGCGGTGCCACACGGAGCCCAGGCAGCACCGCCTATCCGCGGTGGCGAGGCATTTGAAAATTGCCTCGGCCTGACGGCGGGAAGGAGGAAGAGGGGGAGGGGGAGCGGGATGAGGAGGAGGAGGGGGAGGATGATGATGATGATGATGATGATGATGATGATGATGATGATGATGATGAGGAGGAGGAGGAGGAGGAGGAGGAGGAGGAGGAGGAGGAGGAGGATTGGAGCGACATCATCGTCGTCCTCGCTCTCGTCGTCGCAGTCTTCGTCCTCGTCCTCGGGCTTCTGCCGCCGTCGCCCTCCTTCGGCGCCCCCCGGGGGCGGAGGGCCCTCGCTGCCCCCGTCGTCCTCCTCCGCATGCTCCCTCCCCCTGTTCCTCCTCCTCCTCCTCCTCATCCTCCTCCTCCTCCTCCTCCTCCTCCTCCTCCTCCTCCCCTCCTCCTCCTCCTCCTCCTCCTCCTCCTCCTCCTCCTGCCCCTCCTCCTCCTCCTCCTCCTCCTCCTCCTCCTCCTTCTCCTCCTCCTCCTCCTCCTCCTCCTCCCCCTCCGCCTCCTTCTCCCCCTCCTCCTCCTCCTCCTCCTCCTCCTCCTCCGCCTCCTCCTCCCCCTCCCTCCTCCTCCTCATTATCCTCGTCCTCCTCCTCCTCGCCTCCCCCTCCTCCTTCTCCTCCTCCTCCTCCTCAGTCTCATCACTCCCCCTCAAGACTCCCCCGAATCCACCTCTTCCTCCCATCCCTCAGCGGCATAGCAGGTACTCGCCGCGCCACTGGACCAGGACGGTAGGGGGCGGTCGCGGCGCTTCGCCCAAGACGCTCACACCACACATACATACATGCATGCATGCATGCGTGCATGCATACATACATACATACATACATGCATGCATGCGTGCATGCATGCATGCATGCATGCATGCATGCATACATACATACATGCCTGCATGCATGCATACATGCATTCATATATACATACATACATACATACATACATACATACATACATACATACATACATACATACATACATGCATACATACATACATACATGCATGAATGCGTGCATGCACGCATACCTACATGCATACCTACCTACATACATACATACACACATACATACGTACGTACGTACGCACGTACACAAGTACCCACATACATTCATACATACATACATACCTACCTACATACTTACATACATACATACATACATACGTACACACATCCACATACACATACCTATACACATACACACATACACATACAATACACATACACATCCACATCCACATACACATACACATACACATCAACATCCACACACATGCACATACACTACACATACACACAGATATACATACATACACACAACCATACATACATGCATGCATGCATGCATGCATACATGCATACAGACATACGCGCACATCATACATACATACACACATACATACATACATACATACACATACATTCACATCTACAAACATGCATGCATGCTTACATACAACCACACATACATACATACATCCGTACGCACGTACGAACGTAGTTACATACACTCGTACATACAGACAGACAGGCAGACATGCATGCATGCATGCATGCATGAACGGATGCACACACACCTACAGACATGCATACCCATACATACGTACATACATACATACATGCACACAACCATATGACCACACACATACACATACACACATACACATGTAGACATGCATGCATACATGCACACACACACACCTGCATGCATACATACACACGTGCATACATACATGTGAGCATACACATTAACATATACATACACACCAACATACCTACACGCATGCATGCATCCATACGTACATACATATACATGCATGTACATTCATGCATGCATGCATACATGCATAACTGCATGCGTTCACGAACACATACACACACGCATACCTACGTGCATACATACATGCATACATACATGTATATATACATACATACACACAAACATATATATATATACATACACACATACACATACACATACATACATTTGCATACATGTATTCATATATACATGCGTAAATGCATGCATACATACATTCACACACATGCATCCATCTATACATCCATATATACTTGCATGCATGCTTGCATGCATGCATACATACAGACACATACACACATACATCCGTCCATACATACATGTATACAAGAGTATCCACCGATCTGGCGTGCGAGTTTGAAAGAGTCTTAACTGTAGCCTCAGCTTCGTTTCCTGAGTTTCTGCTCTGCTGGGGGGTGGGTGCCGGGGTGGCTCTGCCGGGGTAGGGGGGTGAGGTGGGGGGGGGGGGGACGCGCTGTGCTGCGTTTTCCGGGGGGGGGGGGGTCGGGTCGTGGGGAACACAGCAGAGTGCCACCCCGATGCCAGAGAGCCCAAGATTGCTGCAATATATTTCGAAGACGGCCCAAAATGTACCCAAAACGGCCCAAGATGGCGTCATGACGGCCCAAGAGGCCTACAAGGGGCCTCTAAGACGGCCCAAGACGTCTCCAAGAGTTCCCAAGAGGCCCGACAAACGCCCAAAGGGCCCCCCAAGAGGCCCCAAGAGCACTCCAACAGCACCCCCAATGGGGCTCATGAGGCCAAACGCTCCAAGACAGCCTAAGAGGCCCCCAAGATCGCACCAAGACGGCCGAAGAGGCTCCCAAGAACGCCCCAAAACTGCCCAAGAGGGCGCCAGGACTACCTCGGAGGCAGCCAAAGCGCTCCGAGAGGGCCCCAAGACGGCCCCAACAGAAGCCCCAGAGAGGGAACCCGACCCAACACTTCGAGTCTTCCGGCGAAGAAGGCTCCCAAGAAAGCCCACGAGGCCTCCCAGAGGCTCCCCCGGAGGCCTCAGGGGGGCCCCAAGAGGCCCAAGATGCCCAGCAGGGTCCGCAATTGTCCCGAAAAGGCTCGTGAACTGCGTCCAACAGGCCTCCGAAAAGCTTCCCAGGACACCCCGACACACACAAGAGGCATCAAACCCACAACCCAAGCGCGGTGGCGGGTTGGGCGGAAAGTCACTAACTAGGATGATAAACGAACCTTGTACGTGCGATATCAAAGGCCTCCTGGGCCGTCTTCGGCCATGTCAGATGCCCCATGTATTATCGCATCTGCACTGTGATACCCTGCTGTAAGATCCCACCGGTCGCCCTCGAAGTGTATTTGGGGTAGAGCACAGTGGAGCCATTGAGGGACACACTGGTGGGCTTCCTGATGATCACTTTCTCGGCTTCGACACCCTGCAGTAGTGTACCTGTCGGCACTCATAACAAGATTTCCCACTGCGATGGCGGTGCGAATGCTCCGTGATGCCCATCCTGTCTGCCCTGAGTTGTACTCCAAGAAACTTCGCCACTGTTTCTCATGACTGCCCGTGGTCACGTCGTCCAGCTCGCAGTCTGCCTAGAGTAGCACTCCGAGAAACATCGCTAATGCTTCCCTTGGCATACCAGCAAGCTCCAATTGGTTCGCTCACTGGCGGCCGCTGGAGCCGCTGGCTGCAGTCGTCTCCTCCGACTTGGGGTAGCCGAACTTTGCCGTGAAGGTCTCGGTGCCATCCAGCATGGTCTGTGCGCTGTCTCGTAGCTTCTGGCGCTCCTTCAGCGTCTTCAACCCCTATGAATGGAGGTTGTCATCGTTGTTCCGCTCCTTCATGGCGAGCTTCCTTACTTCGTGGAGGTTCTCTTCTTCGTTCTTTGATATCTCCAGCGCAAGCTCGAACCAGCTCTGCACAGTAAAGGCCCCCCCTCCCTGACCCCCCCCCGCGCGTCGACAGGGCGCCCTGCGACGAGGCCACAACCTTCGACGTTGCGCGTCATCGGGGAGGGCGCCGGGGACAGCTTGAAAAGCTCTCCTGGGCGCGTCTTCTGGGCAGCGTCGAAGAACTGGCAGCGGCGCTCCACGTTGGCATCGTCTAGCTGCTGCGGTAGCCTTTCAGCAATGAGCGCTTCCTTTGTCGCCAACCTTGAGCGCCGCGACCATCGGCGGCCCACCCTTGAACGGAGGGGCCCATGCCCGCGCCCGGTCTTTGGCCACCTCTCGCAGTCGGCGCCGAACGTTTCCATCGCCATGCCCACCCACTCCTTCATGAGCACGTCCCCAGGGTGGCTCTCCTGCGCCTTGACGAACTGCGACCGGTCCAGCTTGTGCCAGAACTGCCACTTGCCCCCTCTCGAGTCGGGGTCGGGGCCTCTCCGTCGTAGCTTGTTCGGGCAGGCGAGCCCGCGCGAGCGGCCCCCCCCCTCTTCTCGCCCCCTCCTGCGCCCCTCCTGCACGCGTTGAGCAGCTGCGCGCTGTCGCCCCGCGTGTCCGCGAAGCGAAGTCCTGCGCCTTGAGGGGCTCTGGCTGCCTCTCCCCCTTGTTTTTCGCCGTCTTGAAGTCGCCCATCTCACGCAGCTCTTTCTCATTCTCCTCCAACTCTTGCGTTGCCGCCTTCAGGACATCTTCGTCGTTGGCGCCTATGGTCACGTAATTGTTGACTAGGATGTCGCATCCTCCTGCGCGGCGCTGGAGCCTCTGTCACTGTTTCCCCTGCTTTGCTAGAGGGTGTAGTTCTAACCCGCTACAGTTTGATTCCCTCCAGCAGCGCCTATGCCATCTCCTTTGGCCTCTCCATGGCCATAGTTGCCCTTTTGCGTGCGAGAATAACATGTGGTCCTTCTTCCTCCGCCAGTCGTGCTTGTACTGCTTTGATATGTCCAAGCGCCTGGGCGGCCCGCGCGGCCCCCTCTGCTTTCCTCATTTGCTCTCGGCTGACCTGCTCTCTCGAAGTCAACTTTTCTCATCCACGCAGTGTCTTTTCCACGTCGCTCCAATCCTCCCACTCCTCCTGTCTCAGCTCCAGCTCGCAGTCGATGCGCACTCTGTTCCATTCACTTCCTCTGCCTCCTTGATATGTTCCATGACCTGGTTCACTTCTCGCGTGCCCCCTGTGGCCCCCGATCATCTCGTAGTACTGGAACCCCTCGTTACAACGCCCACAAGGCCACGGCTGGCTGCTGCCCGCGACGGCCATGGCCACCACGCGTGACGCACTCCGAGAAGCCCCGCTAGTGCGTCACACTGCGCACATAGGCCAGCGTCGAGCCATGCCAGCTGCGACAACCGAGTATGGGAAATGGGGGTAGTAGCGCATTCCAATCTGTCCTGTTGAACGCGTAGCACCTCGCACGCTGGCCCCATCTCCCCCCGTCGCTCGTAGCCCGTCTTCACATTGTGCGCATGCTGTGCAGTAGAAGTACCCCGCACACCATCTCTCCGCATCTGCAATGGGAAGAGGAGGAATAATCGCATCGTGTCGCCATGGTAGATGACGTCGTTTACTGGCTGGGATGGGTGGGCTGGCTCTTGCCAGGGAGGCGTGTCCCCAAGGCGTCTCTCTGTAACGCAGCTTCCCGTTCTGCTCGGAACTCCAGGGCCATTTCGTGGAACCGACCATTCGGGGCAAAACGTCTGCGTTTGGTGAGGCGCTCAACGTCCATGCTGATTGATTCTGCGTTTCTGTCACCATCTGAAAGTATATATCTCCCTCTTCGTCTGCGCGCTGCTTGGCACGCCAGCTATGCCCAACTGCCCACGCCCCCCCCCCCCCCCCCCCCCTGAAGCGGCACCCTCGCTGCATGATGCTGACGCCGTCGGAGGTGCAGTGTACGTGCTTGTCTGCGTCAGCCGCGGCCTGGCACTCGGCCCGTGCTGAAGTTCCCACTCCACCATCCCCCCCAGCTCCGACTTGGGCGCCAACTACTGGGCGCATATCGGGTTCACCGCTCTGGCGCTGGGGAACTCGTTGATGCCGACCTGGATCCTGCCCGGGCCCTCCTCCCAGATCTCCCGCTCGTCCTCGTTCGGGCTCCTGTTCTTGATGTTGCGCGTCTTGTTGCTCTCGCTGACCTTGCGCATCTTGATCGTCTCTGTGATCGCGGCCTGGCCGTGCTCGCCGCTGTCCCCCGTCATCTTCTGGAAGTCGTTCGGGGCGCCCATTGCTCGATATATTGATGCTGGTGCTGCTGTTTGACCTTCCTCCTGCCAATCCGACACCTACTCTTAGATGCCTTCCATGGGCACTGTGCCCGCGTGGATGCCTGGCGGCCCCATCTTGCGCCCCCCGCCCCTCTCCCCGACCTGGTTCCCGTAGTTCTGCCCCGCTGCCATCGACTTCCGAGGCGCCCAATTGCTGTCTGACATGAGGATGGAGTCCGAGGCCATGCAGATCACATCCCTCATCTCTGCTGCAGAGCAGAGGGCCAGTCCCTGAAGTCCGTTGATGCACGCTCTTAAGTCGAACTCCTCGTAGTCGTCCGCTGTGTGTGACTGGCGAGAGGGGGGGGGTCTGCGCCCACCCCCTCCGCCTTTGCCGCTCCCTCCCGTCGCCGCGATCGCGGCCGCTGGTGGGCTGCCCGCTGCCTCGGCGCCGGCCCCTGCTCCGTGCCGCTGTTTTTTTTTCTCGTTTTCCCATGCCGCCTTTGCGGTGCTTCGGCTCTCCTTCCATCCCCGCGCTTGCTCCTCGTTTAGGCGGTGGTTGTCTCCGCGTTGCCATCGCCATCTTCCACGCAGCGCGGCCCGGGACGGCGGCGACGCACGCGCGCCGGAAAGCCTTCCAAGGACTGGAAACCACAGAGGATGCAGACTAGGGAAGGGGGCTCTTGGACTGGGTGATTCCAGCACCTTCTGTTTTTGCAACAAATGCCGTGGCTCTCCGTTGCCCCCGCTGCATGGTCGGTCGTTTTCTTGACGCGAAAGAGCTCAAGCACCACGGACATTGATTCGTTATCACCAGGTTGGGGATCAGCGGAAGACAATTGCGCGCCTCTCCCCCGTGCCCTGCCAGCGCCGCTTTCGCAGTAAATTGCGCCCCGCGCGCCTGCCCCTCTGCCCCAGTTCCCCAGTCGCGCCAAAACTGAACCAGCACTTCTCCTCCCGCCGCAATTTCTGGCAGCACTGCGCCCTGGGCCTCTGCAGCGCGGCGCAGGATACTGGGGCCCGTCCCAATCCAAGCCCCCTAATCTCTCGTGCCCTCCTTGAACATGTAGATATATGACTACCTACTCGGGCACCGGCCCCCGACGTCCTCGCTGACCCCCGCCAGCGCCTGAAGTCCCTGACCACCTGCTTGGCCCATGGCGTAGATGCTGCGAATGCCCATCTATTGTCCGATCCCCTGATCCGGCAGAGGCTGCCCAACAACGACGCGCCAAAAACTGCCGCCAACGCGCCGCCCGAATCCTCTGGATATTTCGCCCATTGCCTGCGCCACCGTAGCCGACGCGCCCTCGCAGTGCTGTCGAGCAGCGCGGCGCCCTCCGTCTCCTGGAAACCTCCCTGTTGGCTCAGCACCTGGTCGTTCCATCTGCTTCTACCCAGATCGCCCTGCCTACTGCCGTGCCTTTCAAAAGTAGCTCCATCGTACTGTCGAGCGCCTTCAAGCGACGTTCCCCCAGCACAAGTGTCGCCAATTCACTGAGGCCTGCACCCGGAACAAACGCCTTGAACATCTCCTTCGTGATCGCGTCTGAAATTCTCGAAGACCAGAAGCGCCCATATTGTCTGCAAGCCCACTGCATGGCCTCGCACCTCCTCTTGATCTCTCCGGCGCATCCTTGATCTCGTGGTCGGCGTGGCCCCAAAGCTCTCATGTCCTTCACCGGCGTGCCCTTGCAGCTGCCCTGCGGCCCCGTCTCGACCTGAGCCTCGGAGAGCCACTAGGTAGTTGGTCTTGGCTGGGCCCATCCCCATCCTCCTCTCCAGCTTGCGCTCTAGGCGATGCGTGGTGGCATTGGTCTGCTCTGCAATTTTTCTCGCGCGGGCTCTTGGGCTATCCGAGACAACCTCGCCCCCGCCACAAGCCAAATGGGGCTGGGGGCCTGGGCGGCCGACAAAAATCCTCGCTTTCGACAAGTCCCAACTGGTGCTCGCTAACTCCAGACTCCTGCGGGAGCGGCACCGACGATGCCACTGCGTGGATCTTGGTGATGTTGTCCATGAATGCGTTGAGCGAGAGGTCGCGCTCTTCTTCGTGAACTTGGCCCATTGTATCATGTAGTGTCTGCATCTCGCCCCCTCCCTTTCCTCCCTGGCGCCACTGTGCCGCGCGGAGGTTGCAAGTGTCATTGGACTGCCTTGGGCGCAAGGCGAATCCCATTAGCGCCCCTCGCGCGGCCCTTGCACGCGCGCAGCCAGTCGTCTGCGCGCGCCATGCTCATTGACGCGCAGGCTAGCGCCTCGACAGCGAACAGTGAGTCGTCCTCCTTCAACGCGGCGAAGACCGATGCCAGCCGGCGGTTGCGTTTCGTGCTCGCGAGGGCGTTCGTGCAGTCGTGCTTGCTGGCGATGGCGCTCGCCCCTGCCCGCCGCGCTCTCCGCCGCGTAACTTCGACGCAGGTAATCGCGCTCTCGCACCATATATTCCCGAGCCCCCCCCCCCCCTGTGCCCAGCATGGGTGCCCCAATGTTTTCCCTCTGCAATGGGTGCCTCTGTGAAAAAGGCATTCCCATGGAGCATTGCGCGCGCGCGGCTCTCTTTCCTCAAGTGCCTTTTTTTGATTGCCTTCTTCTGCAGAGAAGGCTAATGACCCGCGCCCATCCACAAGAGCAGCCTGGGACTGGCGACGCTTGACGCGGATGTCATCTAACTTGTTCCCGCGCGCGCCCGCGTCGTTCTCCAGCGCCGACGACCCCCGCCCAGCTTTCTCACATCTCCCCAAGTGATGCGCTTCTCTTGCCGTCGCCCGCAAGGCCTCGCCATCGTCGCCTGTCTGTCTCGCCCAGCGCACTGCCTAATGTCCAACCTATGTTCTGCAATATAGACCCTCCCACTCTGCACTTGTAGACATCGCTGTGCTTGTCTAAGTATTCCTCGCCATCTCGCTTCTCCGCCGCCCGCGCATTCTGCCCCTCCAGCCTCTTGCTCAGCTGCTCGGGGTCTTCCATGTTGACTGGGTTCCGGCATCCTCCATGTCGGTTCCGCTGGCGCTCCCCGCGGGGGAAAGCCCTCCTCTCCGCAGCTTTCCTGCAGCATGTGTCTTCTATCCCTCTCCACTGGGGCCTTCAAGTCCATGCCGAGTGGGGGCGGCATTTTCTCTGCTATCATCTCGTCATGCTCCTGCCTGTGCTCTTCCGGGCCCGTCTGTTCGGCTGCCAGCCCCCCTTCGCGGGGGCGTTTGCCCGGCTCTTTGAACCGTTCCTCTGAACTCCACCACGTCCTTGCTGAGCAGTCGTGCCACTTTTTTTGCCCTCTCCCATTTCTCTGGCACCCCGCCCTGGGCCTGCGCGCATCGCTGAAGTTGTTGTTCTCACGCGCCCACAATATTTCTTATGCCAGCTTATTGCTCCTTTCCTTGTCCAGGTCTGACCTGCGCTTGCGCAGCGCATTGTGCACCTGCGCCAGCTCCTCCTTCATCTCCCCCTGTCTCTCCTGCGTGTCGGACTCTACCATGTCCACTCTTCATTCCGTGAGTTCTGCCAGTAGGGGATGGCGCGGTAACAGGAGGCCCCCCCCCCCCCCCCTGCCCCCCCGCATCTTCTTGGCGGGGGAAATTCCTGCCCGCCTCGATCTACTTCATCCACGTCTGGTCTGCCGGGGCGCGCCCGCGCAGTTCTCCCCATTGCCCCCCTGCAGTTAGCTCCCCCTGGGCTGCACCCCGAGAAGACCTCGTTCATGCTTCTCCTGGAAGCTCGACTGGCTCCTCCCGGGTTGCACTCTGAAAGGACCTCGCTAATGCACCTCCACGCAGTACTGAAGGGTCAGCCTGGGTCGCCCCCCGAGAACCTTGCTGACGCCAATGGCTGCCGTGGCAGGGCGGCCCGCAGGCGGCGGCTGAACGCGTTCAAAAATCCCACCTTCAAGCGACCATTTCTCTTCAGGCGCTCCATCAGCGCGTTGCGATCCACTTCTTTGTCGGCTCACTGCTGACGGTGATTATGCTCGAGAAGTGGAACTGATGCTCCAGCCCCATATCCGTGTCCTGTCGCCTTTATAATCTGCATGTTTTGCCACCCCTCTCAACGCAGCGCAACTCCAAACATGAGGTAGGGATCCCGACGGCATCGCCACGTGGTCTATCTTGATCGTCCGATCATTCTCGTCTTTCACGCAGAAATAGACCGGCCCACAACCGATGAAATTCGCCACAACAAACTATTAGCTGCGCACACAAAACGCACTGCATGCTGTTCCGCTATATTTATTCCCCTCCATGGCCGCTGCCCCCAATGCTGCTGCATGTTTGCCCGAACTGCGCCGGCTGACCACCAGTTCCTTGCTGTCTGACCTGCGCGTTCCCAAATGGTTGTTGATGTTCCCTCCCACTCTGATAGTAGATCCCCCACCCGTGTCGCCACATTTTTCTTCGACCCACTTCATACTTTGTTTGACAACCATTTTCGTGTACGCTCTATCTGGCGTCAAGTACGTTGCGAATATTGTCACGTCGTATGTTCTCGTCCGCAGCCTGACCCCTGCCTTCTTTCCTTGCACTTGTGCAGGTGGTGAGCACTGCGTGTGGATGGCCTTGTCTTTCATCATCTCGATGGATACCCAGAGCGTCGTACCACATGAGTTGCTGATCAATTGTCCTTTCTTCGCCCCGAATTAAAGTGCCGTCTGGTATCTACGACCCGTCTTCTTCATCGGCTCTGGACCAGCCCACTGGCGTGTTCCTGTCAGCACAATCGTATCCCTCTCTCGTGGCGCAGTGCTAATGTATCCCAGCATGTCCGTGGTACTCGCCGCCAGCGGATTGTAGAATACCAGTTTCGTCAATGCACAAATCGAGAGCACTGCAACCGCCATCCACCTGCCATGCCCCCCCAGCTCCCTCCCTGGCCCGTGCGTTTGCTGGGCGGTCGTCGTGTGAGAGAGTTTCAAGAACCCTCTCTGCGTCGGATCTCAGAGTGCCTAAGCCTCCAACGCAGACTACGACGAGGACGAGGGGGAGGAGGAGGAGGAGGAGGAGGAGAAGGACGAGGAAGAGGAGGAGGGCCCCTCAACGCGGCCTGGGAATTGAGGTTGGAGTTTGCTCACGTCCACCGCTCTGGGAACCGATGCCCCCGGACCCCAGGAGGCAGTGGATGTGGGTAGTCACGCGCAGCGGAGGGGGCAAGAGAGGTCCAGACCTCCTGCCCCCAGGGGTCCCAGGACACAATCTCCTTGGGCGGCAGATGCGTGTAGACCCCAGCCTCGGATATCGGGCACACGCTAACATGGATTAGGGGTCGACTGATCTACCCCCCGGAACAGAAGCTGGTGCCGCCGCCTCGTCGTGGCGACGGGCCGCGCCGATCCTCTGCACCCAGAATTCTGTACACCCAACTCGCGGGGCCCGTCGCGAGAGGAGCCCTAAATAAGGAACGAGGCCCATTTTTCCCATAAGTTAAACTTCGATTTCCCAACGAGAACATAAGGAATACCTGAGGCAAGCTGCGAAACAATTAAGGCACATGGAGCCCCTCCCCAACGAAAAGGGTTCCTTCTTCAGGGCCCCGACTGTATTCCATGCTTGCGTTCCCGCAGGGATGGGGCACCCCGCCGGCAGATTCGAGACCCCGCCCCCCCCGGAGCCAGGAGGCGGCTGCGGAACTCGCCCTCGCCAGCGCCGTCGCCGTCGGCCTCGCCTTCCAGCGGGAGCCGCCGGAAGCAAAGGGGGGAACAGGGCGGAAGGGGCGGCCCTGTGAGAGGACGAAGTGTGGCCGCGCGAGCGTGGAGGGACCCACGAACCCGGAAAATAAGTCAAACGACCGTCTGACACGTGCGCGATACGTACCATGCCGTGCCTGTCATCAAAAGTGCCGAAGGGTCAGGCCTCCCAATCAGCGCCTAAAGGTGAAACGTGGTCCTCAACTCCTACCCTTGGGCGCCCGAGTTATCCGGGGTAACTCGGGTCCGGGGTAACTAGGGTTTGGATTCCCGAAAAAGGAACCCGAGTTAGCCATGACCCGAGTTGCCGCTGATGATGTGGGGCTCTGGACGCCCGAATTATCCGGGGTAACTCGGGCCCAGGGTAACTCGGGTTCGGATTCCCGAAAAACGAACCCGAGTTAACCCTGACCCGAATTACCCCTGATGATTCGGGGCTCTGATACCCTCCGTCCCCAACACACACGCACACACAGTTGGCGGCGCGCAGAGGGGGTTGGGGGAGGAGGGAAGGCTTCTTAAAGGGGGTTGCTTCATGTAAGGCGCCGGCCTTACATCTACAGAGAAGGCCCGCGCCTTCTAAGAAGCAGGGGTGCTTCTAAGAAACCTTCCCCCCTCCCCCTCCCCCCTCTGAGCATGGCCGGCACACACACTCCCTCGGGCGGCTTCACCCCGGAACATAAGGCGGGACATCGCCAGGGATATGGAGGAGGGGGGAAGCCTGCGGCGGGGGGGTGAAAGGCCCCATGGGGGCAGGTAGCTCTAACCCAGATCCAGGGCAGAGATCTCGCGCCGCAACGCTCGCAGGTCCAATCTGACGATTACCTGACACATGAGGCTTCTCAACTTGGGGGCTCACAACCATCGCAACGGTAACGATCGTTGTGATCGTTGTGATCGCTGCGATCGTTATCCTGATCGTTGTCGTGATCGTTGATCGTTGTGATCGTTGCGACCGCTATCGTGATCGCTGACGTGATCGTTGGCCGTCGTGATCGTGGTGATCGTTGTGGTCGCTATCGTGATCGTTATCGTACCAGCCTGGAACATCTCCCTATCCCTATGCTGGGCACCTCCTCATCACGATGCCAGTCTTAGGGGTTCCCCTATTTTTTGCGGGCGAACCCCTAAGACTGCCATCGCCTTTTGGCGTGGCAATCTTAGGGATAGGGATACGTTCGAGGCTGGTAACGCGTGGTGCGAGCTGCCCGATGCCAGGCCGGCGTTGCCGTGATCGCTGCGAACGTTATCCTGACCGTTGTCGTGATCGTTGACCGTTGTGATCGTTGTGATCGTTGCGACCGTTATCCTGATCGCTGTCGTGATCGTTGGCCGTCGTGATCGTGGTGATCGTTGTGGTCGCTGCGTGGTCGCTGTCGTGATCGTCGTGGTCGCCGCTGCGC